TTAAGTGTTAACGAGCAGTTGGACAGATGTACCTAATAAAGTGGCCGGTGAGTGTATTTTGCTAACTCTTTGAGCAAACAGACAAAGGTGAAACCATCGCTCTGACTTCAGCAATTTATATAAAAAACGGAAGAAAACCAGTAAGACTTACTTCTGGCACACAGCCCCTCGGTGCAGTTTTTGCTCTCCATCATGCTTCCACTGCAGTGCTTCCCTCCATTGATGGGCGGAGGGGCTTGGCACTCGCGGCTGCGCCAGTGCGTGCACTCCGTCCCGCAGGCGGACCACTTTGCCCACTCCGTCCAGCCCCCGTCCACTGKAATCACAGCAGAGACGTGAGTCATTTGAGCGTTCCATCAGCGCAGGTGAGCGGGAGATTGGGCGTGACGTTCTCATGGTGTGTGATGTGATGGCTGGAAGTGTCTCTTTTCTCTCTCTCTTTTTTTTTTGCAGTTTGCTTCTAGAGTCAGAGTGCTCTGACTCACAGCAATGCAAAAAAACAAACAAACAAAAATGTTGGAATGATTTGTGATTGAAACGTTGCACTGTGTTCCTTCCTCTAGCAGCAACAATTAGAAGAAAATCTGGTAAAAGTGCTTTTCTTTTCTAAATTTGAGAGATTTACAGAGGGACAAAAACATATTGCACCATTACTGTTTTACCTAAAGATATTTTATTAAATACAAATGAGTACACCCTGGTTTTTTTTTGTTTGTTTGGTTTTTACCTGGGCAGAGTGTGGTGCATGTTACTCTCTGCACTGRCGGGCCCTCACAGAAGGCTCCTCCATTCAGAGGGGCCGGATTGGTGCAGCTGCGTGTTCGCCGTTGCCAGCCCCGCCCACAGCGAGCGTTACACTCTGACCATTCAGTCCAAGAAGACCACCCTCCACTCACTGACACAGAGACACAGAGACAGGGAAAGACTTTCAGTCGCAGCACGAGCGCCATTTTTATTATTACGATTGATTCGAATCGTCTTCTTCCAGGGTGGAAGGGTTAAACATTCAACAAGCGTTGGGAGCACTAGCTTAAATTTATTGGGATTTTACTCTAATCCAGTCAGGATCAGAAATATACATACACCTCTAAACTCTACATTTGCCTAAATCTTTTAATAAATGATGCTGAAAGTTCAAAAATGTCTTTTAACTTGACAAGGCCAAGGCCTATTAACTTCTCATTATTGGTCATGATTGATCGCAGCTTGTGGATTTCTTTTTGCCAGCATAAAAAGGGAAATGTCTGACAGCACTCATTGGATTGATTAATACAAGTGTCCCCATTAGACTATAGGAAACTGATCAGGAGTCCCAGTAAACATCAGTGGACTGAGATGGCGAGACGACGCCTTCGAGCTCGACGGAACCCTGCAGCTGCCCTCATGGACAAAACAAACACAGACATGACAGACTGAGCTGATTGTACGGGATAAATTTTGTGCCAGCAGGAACTGAATTTGAATTGCTCAGATCGAATCTGTATGTGCATAATTTGAAATGGAACGCATTGGTTTGAAAACAAATTTCACTGAACTGAAACTGAATTCAAAGTTTAGAATTTGAATTAATTTGTTTTGAAACTGTATTTTGGTCTATTAAAAATTCAGTTTGACTACTTTCACTTTCAGTTCCATAATTCAACTTCAGTTCTAAAATTCAGATTTTTGTGTCACACGTCCAGTTC